GAATCAATCCCCTGCTCAGCAGGAGCCGGTGAGTGGGGGCTTTTTTTTTAAAAAAGCTGGGAGCTGGGGCTGGCAAGGCTGGGAGCTGGGAGAGCAGGGGAGGGATGGGGCCTGTGTGATTCAGAGATTTGGCCAAATTGATTCGGGACAGTGATTCAAATTGTCAAATTGAATCACTGTCCCCCAAATTGGCCGAATCCGAAGCGAATACTAGCCGCTTCACACAGGCCTAGTGTTCAGTCATTTACTACTTGTTTATACAAGTACTAAATGACTGTGCAGTAACGACTGCGCAGTCAGCATCTCATGTAGATAAGGCCACTGGGACTGAGTTATATGACCAAGAGTAGCTGGGTTGCACAGGCAGTAGGCCGTATACTCAGACTTTACAATTTCTTGCAGCTTTTGGTCTGTCATGGTGCAGATCTCAATTCCATTCCAGTTTGCATGACTTCTCCATGGGGAAGGAGGCCTTGTTTTAGCAACATACAGTAAAGGGCACATTATTAACACAGTGAGCTGGTGGAAGAGACCACGCTTTGTGAGCTCCTCACTTCCAGACCAGTGCATTACTCCGCTAGACTGTAGGGTATGGAGAGAACAGAATGTGGCTGGCACCATCTCCTGTCTGGTGGGCTCTGGGTGTAGCACGCTGGAGCAAGATGCCAGGGTGGGGGGATGGGCACAGCTGGCTGAATATTTGAGGTTTTGGCAGGAAGCCAGGCAGTAGCCAGAAGCCATTCAAAGGGACAATGTGATACAGCCGTGAAAGAGGTAATCCCAGGACGAACCAGGTGAGGTATTTCCATAAGAGACAGGTAAGCATTAATGGCCATGTACAAGGTAACATGAAGACCTTGTCTGGAATACAGTGTATTTTTCTGGACACCCATACTTGAAAAAGACAAACTTAAACAGGGATAGATGCAGAGGTACTGAAAGGATTGTTTGGGGAATAGGGAGCCTGTTACAAGAGGAAGCTAAAATAACTTGCCTTGAGCAGCTTAGCCAGCCGAAGGCTCATAGGGGACCTGACTACTGGCTATAAATATGCCAGGGTAACCTCCAGGGAGGGAGAACTATTTAAGCCAAATGGGCAACATTAGCACAAGAACATGTGAGGATAAAATAGCCATAAACAGAAAGGGGCTGGAAATGAAAAATTGTCTAAGTGGAGTGTGATTTTGGAGCAGCCTTCCAGAAGGAGGAAAAGGGACAACAGCTTAATGGCTCTGAAGGCAGAACTTTATCAGTCTCTGGGATGATGCAGTGCCTGCCATAGCAGGTACTGGGCTCACTGAACCTGGAGATACCTTCCAGTCCCTTCATTCCTATCCAAGTCCAATCCTCACTCCCCACCCCCGAGCGTGAAAGTGCTATGAGGGAGGTGGGTTGCCTAGCAACCTTTGAGCAAATATTCATTTGTCTGAATAATGTGCAACTAACAGGAGACTGGGAGCAGAATGAGAGAAGTGCACAGGAAAGAGGGCAATGCAGGCTGCTACTGCTGGACCAGCTTTGCAGCACTGCCTCTGTTTGCTCCTCTCCTGCCTTGTCCTCCAGGTCTGGGCTCCTCTCATGTATTGTAACTGGAAGGACGGTATCTCTCCACATCCCCAGCCACTGTGTGGACCCTGCACAGGCTGGGACCAGAAGGGTGAACAAGGTGAAGGTCAACCAGGCCCTGGAAGGCTAAGCAGGACTCTGAGTGCCTGGGGAGTTCCAAGGGATGAGCCACATCTCTTAAGGCTTTTTCTGCTCTAAGGGGAGAGAAGTCACCCCATCCCCAGGAATCACTATAGACCAGGACACAAAGGAGGCAAGGCTGTCCCAGCAGCAGGTCAGAGCCATCTCCCAGTGCCAACCTGCACCAGTCCTACCACTTCAAGGGCCCAAATCCAGAAACACAAAGGCTGGCCTCTACTACCCCATGCCTTGGACAAGACCACGAACTGTCTCTGGATGAGAACTCCAATACCAGCACCCTACAGACAGACAAGGTGGCCTGACTGTGAGCTCCCCACCATGTTCCTGCTCTCCAGGAAGGGTATCACAACTGGCAGTGCCCTGCCACACTGACCTGCACGATGACCGTGAAGAATACAACCACAATGGTTGTCGCCACAAAGTAATCCTTGGCTTTGACTTTGTCTCTGTCCAGCAAGATCACCAGGGCAAAGGCAACAGCCCCTCGCAGGCCCCCGTATGACATCACCACCTGGTCAATCCTGTCCAATGGGATCAGTCGGAAGTGGTTGAGCACCCAGGTCTGAAGGACAACACCTAGGGGATAAAGGGAGGGAGAGGTTCTGAGGGTCTGGCAGAATTATGCAAGCCACAGGAAAAGGAGCAGGGCTTTGGCACAGTGGGGTGCTCTTAAGGGTGCAGTCATATGCAGATCTCTTACAAACCCCTGCAAGTTCCCCCGCTCCGCCATGGACATACCCTACCATAAACCAACTGATGTGTGACCCTTGCCCATGCTCTTGGGGCTCTTCTGCATCCCTAGGGCCTTTCATAATGCACAGCAAGGGGACCAGGAGATAAAGGGGAATGCATTAGCACAAGCAGGCCAGACAAGTGAGTGCCAGACAAATTGACTGACCCACAGCCCTGAAGAGCAGGATGAACAAGAGAGTGCCCAGCACTAGTGCTGTGTCCCAGGCCCACTTGGAGGTGTCCACAGCAGAGATGCCCAGGAACATGAAGATGATGGTCTCCGAGCTGCTGGCCAAGGTCTTCATGGTGTACTTGACAGTGGTGCGGGACTTCCGGGAAATGTTGGCTTCCACATACTTCTTACAGCAGATCCCACAGAAGGTGACCCTGGGAAAGCAGTGAGAGCTTGGGATAGGTGCCAGTGGGAAGGGCCACACCACACTGCCCAAGGCACAGATACATCCTCTTCCCTCCTTGCTGACAGGCAGGTACCCTGGGTCTCTGTACACTCCCCACTCTCTCATCCATCCAATAGCAGCTGAGCTACAAGCCAGAGTCCATGTAAGTGGTACTGGTGTGGGCACATAGCTGTGGGACAAGCCCAGCCACAGAGCAGAGTGGGAGTGGGCTGGGAAGGGTATAGATCTCCTAGCAAGGGCAGCAGTGGGATGCTCCCGGCACATGTACCCCAGCCAGAATGGGAGGTCACGGCATCTCCCATGGTCAAAGCAATGAAGAAGACCTGTCTTCCCCCAGCAGGCTGCTGTATACTCACGGGTGTGCTGCAAGCTGCTGTATACTCACGCGAGGATGGAGGAGAGTGAGACCATCTCGGCGGTGAGGTATGCAATGTAGGCGATCAGGAAGACAAAGAGTGGCTCAATGATGCGCACACGCTTGGTGAACCTAGTGATCAGTGCCAGCAGGAAGGCGAAGAGCAGCCCAATGGCCGTGCCTCCCAGGCTTACAAGAAAGAAGGAGGCTGTGGGAGAGCAAGAGCAGGCTGTACTGAGCACTGAGGCTGCAGCAGCCTGCTTTCCAGCTGCAATCCTCTGCCCACCATCTGTCTACTGCAGGGGTTCTTATCACCACCAGAGGGAGCCCTTCTCCCTTCCTGGGCAACCTCTGATTCTGAGCCGGTTTGGTTCAGAGGGTCTCCCCTAAGGATGGCAAATCATGGGGCCAGTGAAACCAATCTTCTGTGCATGCAGGAACAGCTGTCCCTCCCTTATTTAGAAGGGAAGAGAATCTCAGGGCAGTTCCCTGCAAAGCGCAAATAAAGGGCTAAGGAAATGTTACAGCTGAAAATGCAAAGCTGCAGTCAGAGCATCCCAAGGTCAGAAAATGTGAAAGTTCAGGCTGCAGATGGGACCTGCCTAGGCTGCCTTGCTGACTGGTTGCCATGCAGCCCTTGACTACGAGATCTCAAGCCCTCTCGAGAATACGACCCAGAGCAACTGGTGTCCTCTTGCACTCTGTTCTGCTGCCACCTGGACACGTCACACAGACCAGCACGGAAAGGAAACACAGCAATGGGTTTAATTTTGGCTTCTTAGTAAGGCAGGGAACAACTAGAACCACTAGAACTGACAGCACAGCAGAGGAGGGGGTGAGGTTTCATATGCAGATGCTACAGCAGAGAAAAGGGAGCAGTCTCCATTCATGTTGCTGTGCTAGGACATTTCCCAGAGTTCAGTAGCACGGTCTCAAGCTGCATGAGGGACCCATGTGACAGCTAGTGGGTAGTGACAAGTAAATGCCTCCCTCCTCCCTACAATTTAAAACTCATCCTCCTCTGCCCTAATCGGGAGGGGAATTGAACATGTAGCTCTTCTCCAAGACCAAAAGCATTCACTAAAAAAGCAAAGCCATCACCTGGGGCTTTCTCAGCTCACATCACCTCCAGGTCCCCTTGCCCACCTGCCCAGCCTCCTGCCCTCCCTGCAGAGCTACTACAGTCCTGTAAAACTGACAAACTAAACATCAGGAAGGGGGGGGGGGGGGGGGGGCAAACAGGACAAATAAGTGAAATGGGAAAAATAATAACAACACAAGGGTTACAAGGCTGCACTGGGGTCAGGGAGGGGACAGAGGGGATGGGGGCACAGTGCTGCAGAGGGTGCACAGGCCTGGACATTACTTGGCCACTCTGTGGTGTTTTTAAGCTCACCAAGAGCACCCCAAGACTAACCAGACACCTCTGAATAGGGTTAGCAGATGCCAAGTTCACCTGTGTCTCAGACAGGAGAGGTCAGGCTAATGCTGTGTTGCCTAATGCTATGTTATGATCTACATGGGTTGAGCCTGGACCTACACCCAATCACATGACCCTGTCCCAGGTCACCCTCCCAGCTGTGCTTCTCCCACTCTTCTCCAACCTCCCCGAACCCAACAATCCACTTACCTGCTCACTGTCTGTGCAGCTATGAGGGGTAACTGAGCTTACCAGTTCCTATTAACCTCTTCTTTTACCAGTGTGAGGTCTCTATAGCCATCACGAGAGCTACATGGCATTCATGTTCACCCCCTAGGCTTTCCAGCAGAACAGAACAAGGTCTGGTGACAGTATGACTGAGAGAGAAAGAAAGGCTGGCACTGGCTGGAGATACACTCACCTACACCCTTTACATAATCTGTGACCTGGACACGTGCAGGGCCCATCTCCACAAAGGAGTTAAACACCTTGTACAGCACCTGCAGGGCAAAAGTGTGCTGTTAGCAGAATGGAGGGGCTGGGACATGGGGAGAGGGTAGCACTTCAGCCCCATAGTCCAATAGCCCCTTCTTGTCTCCAGTTTGCACTATCCTGTGAAGAGTAAAAGCAAGCCGCCCTCCCCTCCCCTTGCCCCCCCTCCCCCGGTCATAGTCTTTGGAATGGAGAGTCTGACCTTGCAGACTTTGCGAGTGATGAGAGGAACTGCCCCCTGCAAAGGACTCTGAGGCTGCAGTTACTATGGTTCATTTGTGCAGACGTTCCCTGAAAAAGGGATGAGGGACAAAAAGGCAAGGCAGGTCTCATGCCTCCATCTACTCTAGATCAGCCTAGGAAGATCACCCAGTGAATCCAGTGCTGGGCTCTCCAAAAAATGGGCTGCAAAGGGTCTGGTGGTCTGTGTTTGGCTCCAGATCTGAAGTCATGATTTTAAGGGGGATCAGCTGGGGCATTAGGCCTCTGTCCTGCTTCATCTGCATCCACAGTGCTTTGGAGACCTCCTCTGCCTCAGATCCTTGGCAGGCCAGACAGTGCTTCTCCACTCCTTCTGAGAGACCCCCAACCTCTGCAGCCATAGAGAAACTTTGGCTCCTCCCAGTGAGAGACAGAGGAAGCCAAGAGCTGGGCAGAGCCCAGTGATGACTGCAAAATCTCCTTTACCTTCAAAGACAGGAAATCTTCCTGACAATAGGGTTCTGGGGCCCAGGCTGGAGACACTTGGCTGGCTTGGGAGAAATGTGTCTTGTCTAGAATTGAACTTCAGAGCCCCTCTGCAGTGGCCAGCAGCCCTGTGGTATACAAGTTCCCCACAGGCTGCCCCAGTGCTACCAGGTAAAGCCATCCCAGGAGCCATAGCCTTAGGACAGCACTCACCACAGTGACAGCATCATTCAGGAGGGATTCCCCAAACACGATGATGAAGAGGGTCTCATTGACGTGAACCTCCTCAAAGACAGCCAGCACTGCCACAGGGTCCACAGCTGAGATGAGGCTGCCAAACAGCAGGAAATCCATCAGACCAGCTTCCACACCCTTATCTGCCAAGACAAAGAAGCACAAGGCTCAGGCAGTACCCTCAGGAGACAATGCGGACTTGACCTCCTCCTTCCCACCCACCTGCCCACCTGACTCTGCAGAGAGGAACCAGCCAGATGTACCAGGCAAAAAATGACAATGAAGGAAGCCTACCATGGTTGTGCACTGAACTAAGGCATGGGGGCCTGTGTTAGGAAGGCCAGGCTGCCCATGGGATATGGGATGCACACCCTGCACCCACTCTGTATGTTAGCTCCCAAAACAGAACCAGTGTAGGCTTGTTGGTGAGATGCTTTTTGTAGAAGCACCACATTAACACAGTTACATGATTCCCAATTCAGGAGTGTCTCTGTGTGGCATTGCCTTACACCATAGAGATGTACTCCTGTTTGTTCATTGGCAACAATGGGGCCCTGCACATCCCACAGCCAAGGTGTGGCCCTGTGAGGAAATGGGGTAAAGCTAATGGCTGTGCCAAAGGCCAGAGAGCCCCCCCACCCCAACTGAGCTCCCAGGAGCAGCACTGAACTGCACCAGACTGGAAGCTCCTTCCCCTGCCTAAGCAAGCCCCTGCCAGCAGTTCTACATCTCTTTGCAGTGTGGCTGGGCTGAAATATCTTCTTTCCCTCCCTGTGCTGGTAAGACAACTGAGGAGGTGGGTGGCAAGGAGCTGCATGTTTTGTGGGACAGGATCTGCAGGGGTGTCAGAGAACCTTGTCCTTGAGACATAAGGCCCAGCAATGGGACAGAGCCTGAGGGAGCAGCAACCTCTGTGACCCAGCCACTCCCTCAGGGAATATGCCCCAACGGGTGGGGGGACATGCTCAGGAGACACAAAAGGTGGCCAGCCCCCCAGGTAATACCTGAGGCTTACCCTAAGCCTGGGAGAAGGAGTCTAGGCAGTGACTAACACCTCTAGACAAGCTGCAGCTGCTGGAGTTATGAATGGTAGGGCAGGGCCAGTAACAATGCTGAGCATGAGGAACATGAAGATGAGGGGACAGATCAGGCAGCCTCTCCACTAAAATGCCCTGAACTCTCTCCATGGCAGGTGTGAGGCCCTGGTCTTGTTGGTGTCTCAGGCTGCAACAGCATGCCCAGAGGATAAATCCCATCTGGCACTATTCTTTTCTGGGTAGCATGGCCCATTGGAGGCCCATGGTAGCAGGACACACACTTGGCATTGACAGTCTGAGGCCCCACAGAGAACTGGCACCACTGAATAGCAGCTGTGTGGAGGTGGTTCTGCCATAACACCCTCAAACCTGAACTAGTACATGTGTCAGTAGCACTGTCCCCTATGTTTGTCTGGTGACTGGCACTATACTCTGTGCACCTACCCCCACTGAGAACAGTCATGGGGGAAGTTCCTAACACCAACCACTGACCATTCTGCAGGTTAGATCCAATGGCTGTGAGGCTCTAAGGGTTGCTAACCCCTAGCCTACATTGTCACAAAGGGCTCTTCCTTGGACTACTATGGACAATGCCCTGCATGGTCTGAGCTAGTCAGTGGCACGCTTGAGATGTTGCCCTTCGCAGGGAGGATGAAGAGTACTACAGCTGGATTAGAATCAGCAAAGGTCATTGACAAGAATAGCAGAGACATGAGTCAGCCCAACACTAAGCAGGATCCATTTATCCTTGACAGATCCACAAGAGATTTGTTGTTGCTCCCAAGGCATTGTTCCCTGAAGGATATAAAGGTTACACAATCCCTGGATACTGTGGGCCTCCAGCCCCTGAAGGAGTCTGAACAGTATGTAATTCACCTGCCATGAACTTGGACTCAGGAGGGCAAGTGCAGCTCTCTGGCACCTCACCTTTGGTTTTGGCTTATGTTCCTCAAAGGCATGAGTTAGAAAGGCAAACAGCTTGGTAACTGTCCCAGTCCAGCTCTTCTGACCACCAGCCCCACAGACCATGTAAATGAGGGGCAGAGGTTCAAACAGCTCAGCTTGCTTACCCATGAGCCCTGCCTGTTGCATGCCCCAGAGGGAGACTCCAGTGGTGAAAGAATTCCACAGGGTGCCAATCACTGCATATGTCAGAATTGCACCAATGTTGTCAAAAAAGAGCCTGCTGGGCATGAAATAGCCTGAATCCAGGACAATGGGGGGAAGGAGGAAGAAGAAGAACATGTTGGGTTCCAGCTGGTACTCTGCTTTCTTAGCGATGGCCAAGACAATTCCCCCAAGGCCCAGGCCCAGCAGGATGAGGAGGCAGCTCTCTGGGACCACAGATGTCACCTTGCGAGACAGCTGGAACACTGGAAGGAAGAGAGGGAAAACAAGGCATCAGCATGAGGCCTGCAGCCAGGCAGCAGAGCCAGCAGGGCCTGGGCTGACCAAGCTCTGTCCCTGCCCCCTGGGAAAAAACAAGACAGTGCAGTCAGCCCAAATATACAGATACTGCAACAGGACTTGGCTAAGGCATCTTAACCAAGACCTATGAGGGGAGGAGGGTCAGGGAACATCTCAGACTAGCCCATAGTCATATACACAGGGAAGCGAAGGATAAAGGTGTTCCAATACTCTTGTCCCACTGGCTACAGAGGTCTCCTTTGTCATGTTCCAAAGGAAAAGGAAAGTCCAAATCCCATTTGCTTCTTCTGCCCTTCTCAGATATGCTGAGGGGATAGCTGTGCTTCCTATCTGGTTTCTGTTGCATATTGATTTCTCGTTAACACCAAGTCATTTTTTGTTACTCTCTTCTGTGCTGTCATATGTTGTGATCTGGAGAAATCAGAAAGTTTGCAAATCAGGACAGCCCACAAGCAGCACTGTACCTGCTGCCCAGCCTCAGCCTCCTTCCCAGGCCATTCCCTGAGGCATGGCTGGGGGGCTCATTACCCCTGCTCATGGAGCAGGAGATACCTGAACAGCATCAGCATGTACCATGGTCATCGCCTTCTCAGCAGCAGCTTGCCTCAGCAAAGAAACAGGGCAGTATCTGAGTGATTGCAGCACAACATGAAATCTAATCGGATTCCTTCCCTGAAATGGAGTGTGGCTGTCTCCCACAGAGGCTTATTCACAAGCATGTAAAAAATGCCAGTGTGCAACCAGGAGATTTATAGATTTTTAAAGTGGTTTATTCAATCTGGGCTCCTGGACTGAATCTTAAACAGCTACAAAAACAGGATTTTTGAGCATTTTTGAGCAAACAGATTATGCTATTACACCAACGCACCAATCTATCAATTATGTAACAGAGGCAAAGACCAGGTATCCAGGGCAGAGAGCCTCAGTGTTATTGCTGTCAGGACATTTACCAGTGCCCCCACTTTCCTGTGAAGCAACCAGTCCTAAGCGGCAAGCCTTTCTCAGTACCTGGCTGCATGACTCTATTCCCAGCCAGGGCCAGCGTTGGAATTATCTCAATGACACTGGCAGCCACCAGGGTGCACTGTAACATGCTGCCTGACCAGAACTTGAGCCCCTTGGTCTGGTACCCAGAGCACTGCGGGGAGGTCAAAGATGGTTTTTGACAGGGCTGATCTTGTCTTAAGCAGAGGGTTGGATTAGATGACCTCCTGACCTCCTGAGGTCCTTTCTGATGCTATTTTTCTATGACTAAGCCTGGGACTCCGTTTGCAGTGCATCATTACAGCAGGTAAATGATGCTGACATGCCTTGGCCATCTGAGATGACCTTGCAGGAGCCCATACTGTAGCCCAGGTCCCTACTAGTCCACCTAGTGAAACAGCAAAGTTGAGATCTTCTGAATTATTCCTCAAACAAATAGGCACATTAGTTCACAGGCAAAGGAACTGAGTTCTTCTTGTTTTATATTCCTCAGCTTCACATGAAGAGAACTGGCAACTCTCAGGTTGGAGAGAGGATGTGGTGTCATTTGGTATTCAGGAGTTTTCTAACAGCCTTCTTAAACTCAGGTCATTTTAACTTCCAAGCCTGGGGTGCCCCCCCCACCCCAGCATGCTCTCCCTCACTAATTTAAGGGCCTGCTACTTGCTTTTAAAGTCTTCAGAACCTATCAACACAAATGAGTGCTTTATGTAAGTTTTGGAAAGGTTCCCAGCAGGCCTCAGGCTCAGCATGACTCTGGCCAGCATCTCTGAGCAACCTGCAGCACTCCAGGGTACCAGCCGAAGGGGCTTAAGCTCAGGTCAGGTGGTGCAGCAGGTCCAGCCGGCTGCTTGTGATTGTGTGCCAGTCCCAGATCTGGCCCTGCCTGGCCATGGAATTTTGCAGTCCTGTGCTGTGGAAGGGATCTGTTCAGCACAGGGAATCACAGCACTGGGAGCAAGGGGAATTAAAGAAGGAGGACCCCTCAGAGCCAACAGGGCTCAGACGTGCTCAGCTGCCTCTGACCACTTGCAGGTACATAAGTTTGCTGTGTGCCCTGGTGGACAGCCTCTCTGGTAAAATGATACCTTCCACACCTTACCCTGGCCCATCCCCACCCCACAGCATTGCTATCATGGTAACCTGCCATCATCAGTAACACCTGCACTAGTGCCACACAAATGGCAGACCCAGGAGCTGGTTCTCTCTTCCTGATGGAGCAGGATTGCCCACTGCACATGGAGATCTAGGGACATCAATGGAGAAACACGTCCAAGGTAAAAAGATCCCAGCTTTGATTCAATGCCAGCCCTGCTTGCACATTCATAGGCCAGGCAGCAGTAACACTCAACTCTCACCAAAGCACCGGGCACTCGACCTCTGACACTCCCTTGGAGCCCACTTCAGACTTTGCTGGATCCCAATGATTCCCCTCTCCTGGGTTCTCTCCCCTTGCAGGCACTGCTGACCTAAGTGTGGCCTGCCAGGACACCGTGCTGCAGGGTTGGGGGCTGCGTCAGTGGAGTCAGTGTGGTCTGTCCATGCCCCAGTACAGCTCTAAGGGTCTGTGTTACTGAGGTGCAGCAAATATGGAAGAGATGGAATGCTGTGCTTCTTTCAGAGTCCAATAGCTTTTTCCTAACAGTAGGAAACACCAGATTAATCCCCAAGTCTTGGCTAAATCCAAGCTGTATAATTAAATTCTGATCAACTAAACTACCTGTAGTTTAATTAAAGCCAGAGTCTTCATCATTGATTTAATCACAGTGAGAGAAGCTAGAAGAAAGGCTGTGTGCCCCTAGACAGCACTTCCAGCCTAAGTGTGTGTGTGAGGAAGCTACCTCTAACTCCATGTGCTAAAATCCTACAGGACCCAATCCCCTGAGCAAGGTCCAAGACCCTGAGCTGTCACAAAGCCAGTCCCCAGACCTGACTATGAGGGTGAAGTTATATGTTAAATGTAGGCCACACTAAATCTGTGGATTGTTAAACAGGGTCAAAGTTAGAACATGCTGTGAGCAATAGGAGTTGCATATTTACTCAAATACAAGACCAGGGTGGAGTGAGGTGTGTTGCTTCTTTCTTTGCCACTCAGCAATTGGGAGGGACAAGACTGTTCTTGAATTTGAGTACCAGCCTGGGGCAGGCAGCAGCTCAGCTCCTGGTTTGGCCCCAGGCTTGGGGCTAAAGCTTGAGCTGGGCTGCACTTTACCTGGTCTGGGGTAGCTTGTTTAGCAGCAGAGGGGACTCACAGCCAGGGGAGCATAGGGGAGACTGCAAGGAGAGGAGGAAACCTGAAGCCTTCTCCAGTTTTGATTGTGGATGTCCACCTTGCCTCCCCCACCCCCTGCTCCCCCCACCCCCAGCTGCCCCTTCCCCCATTACCTTCTGTTCTTGCTCCTGATCCTCTAGCCCCAATCCAGCCCAGCTGGTGGGGCTGGTCTAAGGTATAGTCCAGTCACACTGCTGATTGCCCCAAAGAGCAGAGCTGCAGCAGAAGGTAAATGGGAGGGGGTGAGCAGGGAGGAGGGAGCAAGAGGTTGGAGGCAGGTGGTGTGGGGAGGAACAGATGATGTGAGAGGCAAGGAGTGGTGGGGACAGGCAACAGGGCGGGGGAGAGCAGGCACAGGAATGGAGGAACAGGCAGCAGGGGGGCTTGTGGCAGGGACATATGGCGGAGGCAGTTGCAGGGGGGACAGGCACAGGAGGGCAAGGGAGCAAGGGGCAGGGGTCTTGCCTTCCACCTTCTGCTGCTGCGTTCCTTGCCACAGTAGTAGAAGGGTGAATTTAAGACAACTTACCACTAATTTGATTCTATACTTGGAAAATTATAATAAATGTATCATTTTCTATGTATAGTATTTAAGTATTGGGGGGGTCATCTTAAATTTTAAGTTATCTTGGATTCAGGAAAATAAAACATTTCTTGCCTGCACAGCTCTGACTTGCCAGTAGAGGGCTGGAGAGCAGGGGCATGGCTAGGAGCCAGGACACCTGGGCCTTATCCCTGTTCTAGAGGTAGCAGGATGGGGAGGAGCTGGGAACAGTGCATCCTGGGATTCCAGAAGACTGCAAATTGCTCGTTTTATCTCCGTGGAGCAGAATGAAATTATCTTAATATAGTCTATACAGCACAGCCCAGAATTAACCCTTACCTGAAGCAGTCTAAGTCTGAGAGACTCAGAGGGTACTTAGCACAAGTTAACGTGTTTTAACTAGTGGATGCTTGTATTTCAAGCGCCCTTAGTATGATCCAATGTTCCCTCTAAGGCAGGGGTGTCCAAATGTTTTGAATGTGGGGCCGGATCATGAACTTTTTATCACCCAGTGGGCCGGCGAGCCGTATTCAAAGACCTCACAGGAAGTGGTATCACACCAGGAAGTGATGTCACGTGACCTTTGACACCAATGACGTTGCAGGAAGTGACAATGAAATGGGTCTGGAAATGTGGTTTAAAATCCAAAATAAAAACAATATAAAAGCAAGAATGAAATAATACCGAACACTTGACTAAAATAAACACTTTCGCTTCTACTCACTTCTCAATGAATGTAAGAAGCATAATGCAAGTCGACAGATCAAATGTGGAAAAGATATCAGTCAAAGCAGAAACTAATCAAAGCAACAAACTATGGGCATTTTTGAGAATAATCTTCAAGAAGATTTACTTTTATTGAATTAATAACTTGTTAGTAACACATCTTTAACAAGTAGTAACAAGTTGAACCCCCAATCCCACACAAAGAGAAACAGAAGCAAACACAATCCAAACACTGGACAGTATTTTTACAAAGATTTTTACCTGCTCCAAATTTACGCTGGAGCCCAGATCGTTCATGCTCTATTCTTGAGCATATTGTTCAGTTTTAAAGGAGCATACAGCACAGCTGCACGGGGCTCAGCCACAGCTTTCCCTCCCTGGTTCAGCCCGGCCAGCCCATCCCGTCCCCTATCAAGCGG